TAGAATCTTAATTTATTGAAAAAGTGAATATATTTTGTGATGGGGTATGTGTGTATGTGCACACCTTACACAAATATTATGTCATTTTCCAAGGATTTAAGAATATACAAGCTAGGTTTTTAATTTGGAAGAAGATGTTATATGTGTGTGTGTGTGTGTGTGTATATATATATATGTGATACGTATAGATATGTATGATCTCTTTCCATATAACATAAAAAAAAAAAGTATAATTCAACGTGAATATTCCACTTTCGATGAAAAAAGAAGATAAAGCAATAGATGATTTTGTGATCGATACTTTCAAAGCCTCTACTTTTATTAGCATTAAAGCAAGCTCACGGGTGAAGAAATTATTGCTTAATTACTTTTCTTTAGTAATTAATTAATTATTTTTAATAAATTATTATATGTTTTATAAACACATAATTTAGTTCGAATCAAACATTATAATATAATGAGAGAGCATTAATCATACGATCATAAAGTTATTAATTATTAATACCCATTAATTTACAAATTTTGATTTTTAAAAAAAAAATCAAAAACACGGAATTTTTCATTAAATTTTTTAAAAAATAAATTGATAAAAGTGACTTAATTTTTAAGGTATTGTAAAAATTAGACACCATAAACTAAAAATTCATAGTGAAGTTATCTAAAGCCCTTTAAAAAGAGAGAAAAGACTTAGCTTTTATATATGTTCGATGTGGGATCCTCCATGAAAGCAAAAGATTAAAAGACATGCATCATATGTTTTAACCAAAGTAATTGGTTACTTTCCTAAAAGATGACTTTTAAGCATTTCCCATATCTAAAAACTAATAATAAAATACAAAGAGGCATAAAATATTTTACCACACGTGTGTGTGTGTGTGTGTGTATATATACATATATATGGATAATTAGTGTGAATTTAAATGTAATGTTTGAATAAAAAAATATATTGAATTTATTTTTCGGATTAATTTGCATGCCTAATCTTCTTAATATTATTTGATATTACGTATGTTTTCAATTTATATGATTTTCAAATGAAATTATTGAAGTCAAATTGTGCTTGTTGCCCATTTAGAGTTAAACCCATCACATATATACATATATATATATATATATACAAAAACTCCAAATGGAATTTTTTATTTTTGAGTTTTATCATTTTTTTTTTGAATTTTGATAAAATATTATAATATTAAAAAGAAAAAAAATCATGAAGGAATAAAGAGAGAAAAACAAAAGGCTTCTTTACACATAGGAGAGAAGAAAGTGAAGAGATTTTTTTTTTTAGATAATACCAAAAAAAAAATTAAACTTAAAATGAAACTAATTATAAACCCAAATAAATTTTTTAAAAAAGAAAATAAATTAACTAATACTTTTAGAAACTCCACAACCCCATAATTAATTATCTTTTTTTTTTCCACTAATTATTTTTTCCCTTCTGATTTTACAAAATTAATCTCCCTCTCCCTCCCTCCTCCCCCATTAAAAGCATAATTACGTATTTATATAATTAATAACTAAATATATATTTTACATTATGGAGCATGAACTTCCATCATAATCCTCGTAGTCCTCGTCCTGGCTGTACTTAGTAATCGGATCGGACGGTAGAGGAGTCATGTAGCGAATAGGGCGAGCGTCCGCATTGGTGACATGCACATGATCGGGGGTATAGTGCAAGTTACTTACAGTAGGGTAAACCGTACTGTAACTCACCCCATATATTGGCGGCACATAATACACTGGGGAATAGGGATATATCGGCGGAAGTGAAGGCGCGAGATCCGTTGATGAAACCGGACGTGGGCCAGGATCCGGTGCCGCAGAGGCCGGAGGAGCTGATCCGGTAGGTGCGGGTGCTTGGCCGGAATTATTATCTGCCTGGACTTTATCAGTATTACTACCATTTTGCCCCTTTTTATTCTTCTTTTTGCTACCACCTTCTCCGGTACTAGTGTCCTGGCCTTTATCGCCGCCGGCTTTGTCTGTCGCCGGAGATTTCTCGCCATTACTTCCGGCGTCGTTTTGTTCGCCATTTTGGGGCTTCTGTGCTGAGGGCTGTTGACGTTCGTCCTTGTCGCCAGCAGCGTTTTGCTGCTTGCCATCTTTAGAGTTGTTTTGCTGCTTCTGATCGTTGGTGTTTTTTGACTTAGCCGCCGCCGGCCGTTTATTCTCCTTCTTCGGTTCAGGCAAAAGCTCTGCGTGTTTTCCCGCCTTAGCCAGCTTTTTAATAAGAGTCTCCACGCCCACGTTGCCCGTCACTGTGACTCTGTGCTGCTGAGCATCTACCGTAGTTGTATAAACACCTGAGCAAGTACAGATATATACATGACCATCCCCTTCACTTTCTCTCTTAGATTTTCCGACCCAACAAACAGAAAAAAAAAAAAAAAAAAAAAAAAAAAACTGCTCAGACATGCCTTTTTTATCTTCATTCTGTACATTATAAACAGGCAGCTAGATTCCATATACGAAGAGGTAATTAAGATCCCAGATAATATCTACGTATGTATGTAGGAACGATGAGCAAGTTACGTACCTTCAATGGCTTTAAGAACTTTCTTGACTTTCTTCTTGCAGCCCTCGCAGTGAATAGAAACTTTCAAGGTCCATGTCTGTGGTAACACAGAAAGAAAACAAGCGAGTTTAAGCGATTAGCAGATGAAAAAGAGGAAGATTAAGAAGAAGATTTGCAAGAGCGTATGTGTGTGTGTGTATATATATATGTATATGCGTCACCTGGTATTTCAGTGTGTCCGCAGGGGTCTGATCCTCAGCAGCTGGTAACTGTGTTGCCATCTGAGAGAGAGAGAGAGAGAGAGAGAGGTTGATGGGGTTTCAAGGGAGTGTAGAGAGAAAATGAAAGAGCGAGGAGAAGAGATGTGAGTGATCGATGATTGACTACCCGGAAAAACTTTAAAAAGGTTGAAGGAAGGGGGGAGAAAAAGGCCAGGTGCGGATGCCACGTCACCTTCAACCTTCGAGGAGTGAAGACCAAAATTTGACACGTAAGCAAGTCACGTGAGGTTACGTTTAATAGTCACGTGAGAAAGCCAAGCATCATACCCAGGTGCGTTAGCATTATATATATATATATGTATGTATGTATGTATGTATGTATGTATGTATATGTATGCATATGTATTGATGAATGAAAGCGACCGTTGAACATATTTGGCAAATCTAATCTAAGCGGGGGAGGCTAGTCCATGATGACTGCTTGGAATAAATTCTGGTGGGATATGTCTGTACATACATACATACATATATATATATATATTATATGTGTGTGTCGTATATATATATATATATATATAGCTTAATTGAGGTCATCAGGTGTCAGACGTGGCTTAAAAAAAAAAATAACCCCTAAACATTTTTAACGAGATATAATACTCACACACACACACATATATATATATATATACATACATACATATATCCCAATTAACACCGTTAACCATTCGTCAAAATTTGAGGTCAAAAGCAAATGATGGTGGGGGGTGTATTGCTTCAACTTCCGAAGACTGTTAAGTCAATAATTATGATTAAATTAATTAAATTAATTTGGATTTCGTAATTAATATTAGGCTACTGCTTTGGCATCTTATATTTTATAGTGAACCCTCGGGGAATAATGATTACAAAACAACAAAGTCAGTACGTATATATATATATATATATATATATGTACGATGTCCTTTTAAATTGCATTATATATATAATATATAATATATATATATATTTGCATTATATATACAAGTACACGTTTATAATTTATGAGTTAGAAGCGTAAATGCAATTACACCAAACTTTGTACTTGGGGAATTACTAATTACTGACCACTTCAGATGATTCTCATTAGTTTCATAAATAAATAAATAAAACCCATCATACCTAATGCCAGGTGTATATCTAAATTTTAAATTTTAATTTTAAATTTTAATTTTTAATTATTTATAAATATATAAAATTTTAATTTATAGTTATTTATTATAATTCTTTAAAAATAAATTAAATTTAAAGCATACTCAAATTATTAAAAAAAAAAATTACCCTCTGTACTAATTAGATTATGAAGTAATAATTAATTATCCTTTTTGTACCGCACAGAATTTGAAAAGTACTGGTTTAATTTTGAGTTAATAAAATATTTTCGTTCATTTAATTTTGTAAATTTTTATTTATTTATTTATTTATTTTTAATATATTTTATTGCAAAACGAGTAAATAAATTTAATTTATCATAAAAATACAAAAATTAATTAAAAAAAATCGTTTTGGACTCTTTTGAAAATAATTTCATAAATCTAGGCACAACTGTAAAATAGGAAAAGCCTATTTGAAAAGAAAAAAAAAAAGAAAACAGAGATCAAATTGTAAAAAAAAAGAAAGAGCGGGCCACTTTAGCAACTTGGCGAACCACAGTACGCTGCGTGGCAACTGTGTCAGCTTGCGCTTCCATGCAAGAAGCTAGGTTGGCGATCCGCATGCTAAGCGGATCAAACAGTCGACATCCATTTCCGCTCGCACGAACGGTCGGATTACAAATCCTGCCCATATTCAAACAGACGGTATTGATCAACGGTTGAGAGATGAACAAGCAGGATTCACTCCTCAAAGTCAAGATGGATGACCCATATTTGCACATTAAAATCGCTTAAACAGGTCTCGATCGGACGATCCTCTTTCCTCCACGTCAACCCGATCGGAAGAACGAGATCAGGTGAAGAGAGGCACTTAAACCTCTCTTTAGTCGGCACCTAAACCCTAGCCAACACAACTGACTCGAGAAGAAGAATAAGGGGATGCAAGAGGCACGACGGCGCCGTTGTGCCAAAAACCAAAAACAAGCCAGTAAATACGATTTTTTTTTCTCACTCTTCCTATTTTTTCGTCCTAAATCACTTAAACAAACCCTAATGCAAAATAAGCCAAGGAAAGCCGTAACCCGAGAGAGAGCACACGACAGAGCTCGGCTGTGTAGCCACGTCAGAAGCCAAAACGACCTCGGTAAGGTTGAAATTTCAATCATTTCTCTGTAAAATACTCTTCTTTTCATGATTTAAGTTGATTCCCATCATGAACCTGCCAGATTTGGCTTGGCTGAGAGAGAGGAGCGCTAGAGAAGGAGAACCAAACGGCGGAGCTCAGTGGCGCCGTCGTGCCGGAACTTCAAACCGATCCTGATGAGTTTCCTCTACTCTTTTTAATCTCTCTTTATATGTTTCCACGCCGTTTTGATGCGTGTTTCTCAATTTTACCAAAAAACTCAACAAATCTGAGAGCCAAGAGTTGTCACGAACTTTAGTTGAAAGATGCGTTATTTTGGTCTCTAAACCAATGTAAGAATCCCTCAACTTTTTTCCTATTACAGTTAAATTAAAGTTAATATATAATAAATGGCGACTCTAAACTGTTATGTGAATTCTTGATAATTAAATATAAGTTGTCGATGGAGTCATTTAAACGATTATTTATATTCGTCACTAGCTTTACTTTGTGTTATTTATTCGTTATATTTGCCTCAATTCCTTTTTATTGTGTTTATTATTTTATTTTCATTTCATTTTTATTTTTATTTGCTTATTTACTTATTTTGTAGTCGTCTATTCCTTTTCTCTTAGTCTAATCTATTTTCAATTTTATCTCGCCATGTCCATCTAGAACTAATGTATTAATCATGCATCTTGAATCATTGTACTTTGTTTCATTATGTTTTGCTCTGTGTTATTTTGTTTATTTCGTTTCGCTTCATTTTCATATATTGCCATGTTAATTTCGCCTTAGTTTATTTATTTCATTTTGTTATTCATATTATCGCAATATAGGAGCTCTTATTCTATCATGAAATTTTACTTCGTTTCTATTTATAATTTTATCTCTTAACGGGTTTTGAAACATAAATTTCATATTCTAGTATTAGTTGAAGTATGGGTTCTATGTGATTTAAGAATAATGAAAAATATGCACGAGTAAATCAATAAAAATGGCATACCGGATATCATGTGAAAGAGTGTACGGACTTGGTACAGAGTATGAACCCTACTGTGGATATATCTTTAACTATACAGGGCTGAAAAATCCCATACCAAACGAAGTTGGGAGATAATCAATTTCGTTCATACCGGACGAGGTATTGAGACAATATTTAAATTGTAGCGTCCATTATCGGATGAGGTATAAGAACGGCCAATGAAATATAAAAAGGATATTTTGTTTCCATGTGTAGCGGAGATCCTTATGGGCCCCCAGCAATACCAATAAGGAAAATAAAATGGAATGAATGGTAAGTAACTTGATTTCGAACAAATAGTAAAGAGCACATCATTACATGTCATTAGAATGTATATTTATTGTGTCTAAATTGTCATACTGATTTTATCTTTGTGTGTTGTATTTAAAGTACTTTTAGTTGAGGAAAGAAATAATAACATTTTCAATAAAACGAATAAGAGGTGCATTAGCATTCGAATTTCATTGAAAACATATTCTATCGATTGTTTTAAATTTTATACAATCCTTTAATTTTCATGTCAGTGGAAAAATATGTATTCATACAGCTTCAACATTATTTTTAATTACACAAACACAATCTTAGAAAGTCATTCACACACTTTCACATACAAATGATAATTTATTAAAAAACACATTCTAAAATCATCAATTAAACTTGGGTTAATTATTTTGAAAATCAATAAATTATTTTACGAAACCATGAAATTTTCAAAAGAAAACTAACTCAATTCTTACCGGAATCTCAAATGAAGGAAGAAATCGAAAAGTTTTCGAATAATTTTAGTTCCATACAGTTAGCTCCCTTTTCAATTTCTTATTCCTAATTTTTCTAAAAATTTCATACACATGATTAAGAATATAATTTAAAAGAATAACCGAATGTAAGGTGGAAGAAAATTTACTAAAATTGGTGTCGAATTCGGGCTTCTGACCTGAACACTTAACACCGCGCACGACTATTCTTTTCCAATCGCGTGCGTCGCGCGCAGCTATTCTTTTCCAGTCGCGTGCATCGCGCACAACTATTCTTTTCCAGCGGCGTGCGTTGTGCGCCATGCTTCCTTCTTTCTCTTTCTCCTCATCTTCCTTTTTTTTCTTGTTCTTCTTCTTCATCGCCCTTGTCCCCCTTTCTGCTATGGTTTCTTTTATTATTATTTTTTATTATTTTTACATTTTCTGGCCTAGGCCTGGGCTTCCTCCTCTCATTTAAGTCTAGTTATTACATTTCAAATCAAGACGATCAAGACTCGGATTCCGAACAATGAAAGACTAACTAGGACATTATTTCCTCCCGCTTCGCCAAATTCGAATTGAGGTTAATAATTACTTTGTAGCAGTTTTCTCATTTTAACTTCTTAACATTTATTTAGCCCATATATGAGCAATTTAAGTAAAGCTCTAAGGAATGTAACTTTTAAATTTTTATTTTTCCTGCGCTACGATAATTTCAGTATTACTATATTATCATGATAGGGCTAAATGCTCGAAATCCTTAATGAGAGTTTGGGCTTCTACACTTATCATGTTTAGTTAATATAATGTTACAACTTCAACTTTTGTTTAATTAGCTATAATCTTGATTTTTATTTATTATTATGGACTTTTAATATTTTATAAATCAGCTAAATAGTAACTAATTGTAAATATGATAATAAACAATGATTTGAATAACATGTGAGTGTAATAATTATAACTATGAATTATTGATGCAGTGACTTCTTTTACATTAATGTGAATTAGACTATGCTAATAATTGGTTTCTTCTACTGTTTATATACATATATTATATTATATATATATATATAATAACTATAAAGTTAGGAACAATTATCTCCTACACTTTATATTAACCCAATTGTCCTGTCAGGGACTTTTTAGTACCAATGCATGACTCCTACCACTCACTTTCTGCTTTTTCCTTCCTTAGAACAGCACAAGAGGTTGCAGAGATATAAAGCATTAATATGTACACACACACACACACACATATATATATATATATATATATATACACATACATATATGTATCTCTATATATACTGAGTACACCCAGATCTTAAAAAAAGAAACCCACAAAATCTTATGCTTACAAAAATTATCTTAATGTGGTACACACTCTCAATCAAACCCATTACAGCAATTAATTTCCTGACAAGTACTGAAATTGGTAGGTGAAAATTCAAATTAAACATCTAAGTAATTGAATTTAACTTTTTTTTTTTTTTTTATCTCGGTTAAAAATTTTAATTACAGTGATTCAAGTTAATTAATTTAAAGACTAAAATAAAATAATTAAGAAGATGGGCCAAGGCCTAAGTTTGGGCTGACTTCTTTATGGGCTTTATTCTTTTCTTTCATCTTGAAAACTCGGTTTGGCCTCCATGATCAAAATCAAAATCTTCTTGAGCTCCATCCATGAAACCGAGATGAGTATTACAGCGAACAGAATCTTCCAATTCTTGAACAGCTGCTCCTATCGCTGTCATCTTCACCAAATTCAATCACAACTCATCATCCAAAACCTTCAATCCGACACCACCATTGCCGCCCACTTCATCTCTGCTTGCCACTCACTGGGTCTCCTCTGTACGGCCCATGAATTCCTCTTCATCCACCTCTATAACCCTCATGTCTTCATCTGCAATTCCCTCATTCGAGCCTTCTCCCACGCCTGCATTCCTCATTTCCCTTACGCCATCTACGCTAGCATGCACGGCAACTCCATCGTCACCAATAATTACACTTTCCCTTTTCTTTTCAAGTCGTTGGCCGACTTCAGTGAGCTGAAACGAGGACGGTCCGTGCATACCCATGTAGTCAAACTCGGTTATCTTGCTGATATTTACGTGGGGAATTCGCTGCTGAACGTTTACGCCTCGCGCGAAGGGGACATGGAGTTGTGCCGCCAACTGTTCGATGAAATGCGTGAGAGAGATGTTGTGTCGTTTACTGTTTTGATTACTGGGTTTCGGAGAGCTGGGAAGTACGATGATGCGTTGATTGGGTTTGAACAGATGCTCTCCACGGGTGTGGTGCCAAATCGTGTGACGATGGTGAATGCGCTGGCTGCGTGCGGGAGCTTTGGTGCCATTGATATGGGTGTTTGGATACATGGATTTATAAAGAGAAAAGGGTGGGAATTGGATGTGATTTTAGGGACTGCTTTGATTGATATGTACGGGAAGTGTGGGAGGATTGAAGAAGGCTTGAGTGTGTTCCATAAGATGAAGGAGAAGAATATCTTTACATGGAATGCAATAATCAAGGGACTCGCTCTGGCTAAAAATGTAGAAGAAGCAGTTTTCTGGTTTACTAGAATGAAGCAAGAAGGTTTCATGGCGGATAAAGTGACTTTGCTTGAGATGCTCTGTGCCTGCTCCCATTCTGGATTTGTAGACATGGGGAGACAGATTTTTTGTTCATTGATCCAAGGCAAGTACGGATTCTCACCTACTGCAAAACATTACGCGGCCACGATTGATCTCTTATCTCGCGCAGGGTGTCTTAAAGATGCTTTCAGGATCATAAGAGGAATGCCGTTTGAACCTACTAAATCTATGTGGGGTTCATTGCTGTCTGGTTGTAGAACTCATGGAAGCTTGGAATTGAGTGAGTTTGCAGCTAAGAAGCTTGTAGAGTTGGAGCCGGAGAGTGGTGCATACCATGTTGCCCTCTCTAATTTGTATGCAGAAATGGGAAGATGGAATGATGTTGAAGAAGCTAGAGAATTGATGAAAGACAAGGGATTCAACAAGGAACTCGGCTGCAGTTCCATGGAACCTGATCCCCAAAATCATGTTCATGACTCTGATGCTATTATTAAGATGAATACATGTTCATGACTCTAATGTTATTACTAAGATCAGTAGGTGCTTGCCATTTACGATTACCGCAGTATTATAGCATCCATGGCAAAAAAAGAAGCCACTTAGCTAGGACCCAAGTGGTGATACCTTTGTTTGACGGAACAGGAAAGTTTAAGTCCTTTTGGACTGAGTCTTCTGTAAAGGCGGCCTCAAATCAAGATTGAAGAAGAAGAGGAGAGGAAGATGAACTAGTATAAGAGATTGATTGTTCATATACATATATATATACTGTGATTAATTCCTAAACTTTCTACCAATTACCATTTAGTTTAGGAATTATCTGATTCCTCAATTAGTTTGCAAACGGTGGAATTGTTTGAATCTAAATATACCTGTTCTTGTCCCAGATGGGACACATAGTGGATTATCTATCTACAAGTCCCTGTAGTAGATGCGACAAATACAAAACGCAATTATTGACAAATTTTAGATAAGGAAAGTTGTTTCTTCTCCGGGAAGTCTATGCCATTTGTTCACTCAAAATTAGTAGGCTACCTACTTAGTGTCCAGGCTCCACAAAATTCAATGCATCTTCAGATTTATTATTATTATTTTTTTTTACATTTTCTTTTTACTTAAGGTCAAACAGGATTCTTCCAACTCTGAAATGTACGTTTATGTGATCTTATCCAAAAATAGGTGATTACACAGACCTTAAAGTGAAGAACAGATTGAATCTAGAAAAAGAAGATACCCTTAACATTAAGGACTGAAGACACCAGAAAAATACAAAGAAAAGCTCACACAGGATCTTATTCAAGACGAGTAAATGACTGAGTTCACCACAGATCATAGAACTACATAAGTTAAAGTGTCTAAGATTCTAAAACCCATTTCTGCAACTCACATCTTTTGCAAAGCAATGACCTTTCCCCAGGCGGGTCTTGCAGTGATGTCTGAGACCCAAGCAGAGACACGAGGGTGAGAATCCAAGAGCTTCTTCGATGGGGTCAATAACAAACAATGGAGGGCAGGGAGGTGGTGCAGATCTGCCAAAGTGAAACACCCACATGCCAAGTACTTTGACTCACCGAGTCGAGTCTCGTACACATCCAGAACTTTAGAGAGTTTAGCTTCGTTCTCTTCGACAGCTGCTGAGTCTGTGGTTAGACCAAAAAAAGGCTTGTAGAATTGTTCCCAGGCGAGCTTGGAAGCCGCCGTGTCGAACTGGTGAGCTTCCACTTCCATCCAGACAGACATGAGCGCCATCAGCTTGGTGCTAGGGCAGAGCAGCTGGGTCCCCTTGTCTTGATACTCGTGAGCTATGTACTGTGTAATTGCTCTTGATTCTGCAAAAAGGAAAAAACGAAAGCAGATCAGATCATTTCAATGTGCCAATAAAACCCATTTAGACAACCAGGTATGAATAAAAACTTTACCGAAGAGCTTCAGATCGCCATCTTCAAAAGCCGGAACTTGACCAAACGGCTGCAACGAGAAAGAAAACGGTAATGGAATCTCAAACGTGATCTCAACTGGGTAGAAATTAAAAAGTTTAATGTTTAAAAATGGAGTCGCAGACGCTTACGTTGAGTTGCAAGAAGGAATCTTTCTTGTGCTCGCCCGCTTTCATGTCGACGTTGACGAACTCGAATGGGATATCTTTCTCGTAGAGAGCGGCAAGAGCTCGCATGGTGGCGGTGGATAGAGGGGTTCCGTGAACCTTGACGGGTGCCATGATCGGGTGCTCGGATTTGCGAGACGAGGAAGAAGAAGCTCAGAGCGAGAGAGGAGATCAGACGAGAATGAAATGCTCAAAGTGGCGTCGTTTTATATAGAAATTAGTTTCTATAAAGACGTGGATTTCTCGTAATTCTGGAATGTTCCCTTAATATCATTTTTTTTTTTCTGGGTTCGGGGGACCATTAAATTACTATGATTTTTTTTTTTTATAATATAGTTTTTTATACAAGATATCAGAGAATCAAATCAAATTATATTTCTATTTATAAATTATTTATGTATTATTATAATTGATATTTGCTCTTTTATAATATATTATAATTATTTATGTTAGGGTTTACGTGATTTAGCATTTTTTACAAAAACGACAATTTTGTGGCTCAGATTATTTATTCTTTACTTTAAACTAATAAAAATTAAAAATATATATAATTTTTATTCCTATTACTTTTAAAAATTAATTAAACTTAAATAATTATTTTCCTTAATTTAAATTATGAAATACATTTTAAAAAAATATATAATAAATTTATCTTCAAATTAAACCCCACTACTTGCCATTCAACAATATCAATTGTCATAAATGGAATATATATATATATATTCATTATAAAAGCTTGCATATATATATATATGGGTTCGACGGATTCAATTTCAATTTTGAAAAAAAAAAAAAAAAAAATTAAAAGAATTACAAAATTTATTTGTAAATTCACAATTAATTTAAGTTTATGAAAACATATTACATATTTTTTAACATAAGAAAACACATTTATCAATAGTAGTAATTTTTAATTTAATTATATAATATGTTTCAAATAAAATAAAAAAATTTTACTCGGGAAAATCAAATGACGAAATTTCCTAGGAAAGGGGCAGGTATATTTCAATGTCAACGTAAGCTCCGACGTCACCACCCACTCCTCACCCTACGTCCGAAGTCAACCGAGAATCGTTGACCATTTATTTGGTAAAAAACTTTTTTGACTTTTTCACTCCGCGCTTTCCGCGCAAGTCACAAACATGATTTTCCCAACCGATAAGTAAATTAATAAATTCTAACCTTCCTCATTAACACCCTAATTAAATATATATAATTATAAATATATATATATTGCCAACTCTTTGCTAAGTTGATTTCTTTGAGACCCATATGACCCATAAAAAAAATAATAATAATAAAAAAAATCCCAATTCATTATAAATTTTAATATTATATTCATGAACTTTATAATTTGAATTAGAATTAAGAAATTAAATTAATTATGTAATTTCCTTAAACCATGTAAAATATTTGCTACTCTTGTTTATAGAGATTGTATATCATATTATAATCTTAATATAATATATAGAATGGTAGGTGGTAGAGGTCGGTGAGTAATGGGACAGTGGCATATGATACTCATAATTAAAGTCTATAAAGGTTGGTCCCAACTCAAATAATAAAATATTTTATTTTATAAATAATTATTTAATAATTAATAAGTAATCTAGTAATATCTTAAATATTGTATTTTTTTTTTTAGGAGATCGGAATTTTTTTTTTAAATAAAAATTATAATTAATTATAAATTTTTTTATATTATAAATTCTCATATTATTGTATCGTGTAACCATCCCTCTCACGTATGTTTTTCTTTCGAATGATCTAAATTTGAGTTTTTTTTTTTTTTTTATTATTCTCTTTCTAAATAGTTTAGAATGACATACGTAATTGTTTAAAATAAATTTATTTAAAATTATACCTATATATATGTATATATATTTATTTAGGATATACG